GGCCCCTGCATGACTGCTCTCTCCCATCTCCTTAGCTTTGCCACTTTGGCAGCCAGACGTGCGTTGTTTCTGGGACTTTCCTGCAAACTCTGACCTTTCCACACAGACTTCAGATGTCATGGTTAGTGATTCTCTTTGGTCCTTGGACATCCCCCTCTTACAGAACTTAACTTCCTCAGCTCTTTTTATATTTGTGAACATTGTAATTCCTATAGCAAACTACCTTGTTGTACAGTATTTATTTTTTTGTGTGTGGCTCTGGTTTTCTGACTGAGCCCTAACTAATAGAGATAGATTTTATGTATCAGTTCCATGGGGGAGATCCTTAAGGCTGTGAATCTGAAATGGGTTCTTTTATCTGATTAGATTTAAAGACATTAATAGCCTCTTTGCCAGTTTCTCAAACTCTGATCTTCCAGACCTCAGCTTCTCCAGTAATAATTTCCCCGTCACAGTGTTAACTCTTTTCCTGACTGAACATTGATATAATTAATATTTTAATAATATAATGACAGTATATTTATTACTTATGTTGTCATGTTATGAAGTAGTTTCTATATGAACCATCATTATCACATATTCACCCAATGCAATGGGTAATAAAACTGTGTCCTAAAAGTAGTCACCAACCTAAAAAGAGTTTGTCAGCAAGTAGAAAATATATTGTTAATGCAAATTATACCTACATTTTTATAGTTTATTTTCTCAGGGATATCCTATAAATATCAATTTGATTAATATTATAATTTGATTGATACTTGAAAATCTGCTAGTAAGGCTTTTACTACTCTTACAATTGCTGTGATTTCAGATATTTTTTTCTAGACATGTACAGGATATATCAGTTTGAAGGTAAAATTCCCACATCCAAGATTGTGAACCATGAAAAATTCAATGCTAGCATTTATTTACTTATAAATTCTATTTCTAATTTTTTGAATGTTTGAAATCCACTGTACTACCACCATCTGCCTATTCAATAGAAGAGTCACTAAAATAAAAAGCATTAACTGTGTTTTCATTAAACAAATAAGCAAACAAATACATATTTAAAAATATTAAAAAGCATTATATATGGCAGTCCTTTCCAAATCACATAAAGTTATTTTCCTTTTCTTTTAGAAAGCATGGGATCTTAGTTCCCTTAATCTTAAACAACAACCAAAAAACACCTCTGCTTATTTTTGACATTTTTAAATTGCTGGCCATATTTTATTTAATGTTTTGCTTTTCTAAAACTAGCTTGGAGAGTAGTATCTACTACAAAAGGCATGACTTTATAAGATGTGTGAAGTGAAGTGAGTGGCATAAAACAGTAGGTAGTTGAGCATCATACAAGTCAATGAACAACAAGGTCAATTGCTTCATATTTACTTGTGGTTCAACACAGCTGGAGTGAAAAAAATCATAATGCTTGACTGGTATTGTGCAGCAATGTAATGTGGAATAATAAGAGAGCTGAAATCATCAGTTTATAAAAACTACTAGTCTGACTAGTAAACACAGAAAGAAAAGACAAGTTGTCCAAAAAAAAAAAATCAGGAAAAATCCATGTGAGGAATACAAGAATGGAATACAAAAGTGTGTGCTCCACACTCCTTGTAACAAAGACCTGACAAACTAAAGTTTCTGTTCATTTCTGATTTACACTGATATTAAACTTTCTTTGAAAGCATCAAATTTTACTTTGTGCCATTATCAATTCTGTGAACAAAAATAGTACTTTTATATATTGATAATCTGAACACAAGTTTTATTTGAGGAACGGTCATAAAAACTGAAAAGCAAAAAAACATATAAAGCCTGAAAAGTTTTTGTTGAGAAATCAACTGACAACCTAATGGAAGCCCCGTTGTAGGTAACTAACTGCTTTTCTCTTTTTGCTTTTCAGATTTTTTTCTTTGTCTTTAACCTTTTGCATTTTAAATACAAGAATGGAATACAAAAGTGTATGCTCCACACTCCTTGTAACAAAGACCTGACAAACTAAAGTTTCTGTTCATTTCTGATTTACACTGATATTAAACTTTCTTTGAAAGCATCAAATTTTACTTTGTGCCATTATCAATTCTGTGAACAAAAATAGTACTTTTATATATTGATAATCTGAACACAAGTTTTCTTTGAGGAACGGTCATAAAAACATTAACTAGTAAATGCTATGATTATACTAGCATTTCTTATAACCAGTACTAGAGACCCGGTGCACACATTCGTACATGGGCGAGGTCTCTTAGGGTGGCCTGCAGAGTTCAGGCCCCAGCTTGTGCCCCAGCTCGCAGCCCTGTAGTCCCACCTGGCACCCCATCTTGGTCTGGCACTGCCCCCTCACCTGCTCCACCATCTTGCCTGTGGGGAGATTGGTCAGGGCCAGGAGCCCCCTGCCCGGGTCCCCCAGTATCTGGGAGCCAGGCAGAAGCCCCACCCACCACCACTGCTGATCATTGCCTGCAGGATAATGGGTCTGGGCTGGGCCTCCCACCCAGCTCCATCAGCAGCTGGGAGCTGGGTGGCGGCCCCACCCCTCACCACCGCCACTGGTCACCATCTGTGGGGTGATCAGCAGAGTGATCAGGGCCCCATTCGCACCTGCCTTGGCCTGGCACTGCCCACTCACCTGCTCCACCCTCCCACCATGGTCCCACTCTCTTTGGGGCCCATCGGGGCTGGCAGTGCCTCCCCTGCTTCCCACTGCCAGCGTTGTGTCACTGACACCTGCCATGTTCCACACCACCACCTGGTGGTCAGCACACATTATAGTGACTGGGTGAACTCCTCCTCTCTCAGTGGAACAACTGCCCAAAGGCTTTTATTATATAGGATGTCAGAACAAACCTCAAATAAAAAGGGTTTTCATTGTATGATGTGTTTTTCCCCCTATGAAACAGTTTACACTAACATATGCAATTAAAAAAGACATAAATTGATGTACAGTTTAGGAAAAAGAATGTGTGATATATGGAGATTGTTATGTGGTGTTGTAAAAAAATACCTTCAACATTGACAAAGAGATTAGCTGTCAATTAAGAAGTTGCCCTTCCCTTTTCTGAAGTTTCCAAAGTATTTAAGTGCACTATATACTTTGTCTTTTAACCATGAGTTTAGCCCTTATGATCAGAGAAGTAAAGTGCCCATTGACATCAGTGAAAAGTTTACTTGCACTAATGACGTGCTCAGAGAATGCTTTTTTTCTGAAACAAAGTACTCATAAGGTGCATGTATTTTTCAATAAATCAGAGCTACCTTATATTCATAATTATGTTCTTTGTATTTGTCTAGGGCTGCAAAATCAATTATAGGAAAATTAAAATGGAGCCATGATCAGCTAATAAGAGCTACCTTATATTCATAATTATGTTCTTTGTCTAGGGCTGAAAAATCAATTATAGGAAAATTAAAATGGAGCCGTGATCAGCTAATGATGCATAATGTCAGAGGTGTAGGTCTTTTGCCTTCTTTTCACATTTGCGTTTTGAAATGAAAAATCAGTTAAGATGACTAGAGAACACAACATGGTCAGTCTGAAGAAATGTTTTTCTTCCCTTTAACGTGATTTAGAGAGCTTCTCAATCATTAACTAAGTCATTTTAGTAAGCCTCTCATATTAATTGTCTCCTTTTCACTTTTATGGATGAGGTGATTGACTTTCATTTAGTAAAATCAATTTGTCATTTTCAGAGACATTCAGAGATGCCATGTTGGTGGGCATCTGCTTATGAACTCCTCTGAAAAGACATTCTCAATTATTAAAAACTAGAAGTCAAGTGCATGAAATTCATGCACTGGGGAGGGTTTACCTCACCCAGCTTGCACCCTTTCCAATCTGGGACCCTCGGGGACAATCTGGGACTGCTGGCTCCTAACTGCTTGCCTGCCTGCCTGCCTGATTACCCCCTAACTGCTCCCCTGCTGGCCTGATTAACACCTAACTGCTCTCCTGCCAGCCGGATTGCCCCCAACTACCCTCCCCTGCTGGCTAGTTGCCCCTGATCTTGCCCACAATTGCCCTCCTCTGCTGGCCTGATCTTTCCCCCAACTGCCCTTTCCTGCTGGCCTGATATCATCCCCAACTGACCTTCCCTGCCAGCCTGATTGCCTCTAACTTCCTCCACCTGCCTGATCACCCCTAACTGCCTTCCTCTGCTGGCCTGATCTCACTTCCAAATGCCTTCCTCTGCTGGCCAATTTGGTTCTGATTGGTTGGTTTCTATGCCAGTCAGCATCAAAAGCTTTGCCTCCTAGGCAGCCATTGGCTCCTCACAGTTCACCCAGATTTGGTTCTGATTTGTTAGTTTCTATGCCAGTCAGCATCTCTGGGCCTATCAACGGGGCCTGATCAGAAAGGCGGGGCTGACCAGCAACCCTGGTGGAGGCCTGGAGAGAAATGGAGGTGTGGCTGCTGGAGAGAAAGAGAGAGGCAAGTGCTGATCAACAGCTGCCACAGAGTCTATGGATCAGACCCTATTTCTCTCTTCAGGCCTCTCTCTGGGCCTGATTCGCAGCCCCTGAGCAGTCAGTGCTGGGTCGCCATGGCAATCCAGAGCTAACTGCAGGACTGACTTCCAGTTGGTCGAGCCTCCCGTTGTGACCGACCCAGGGTTTTTATAAATTAGGAAAAGCAGGAGAGTTGTCAAACACCTTCTTAAAGTTTATACCCATAGGTTGGATCTGGCTTTTTCATCCATATTTGTAGAAATCAGAAACATTATAGAATGTTTTCATATTTTAGAGTGCTATGTGAAAAAAAACAACAACACATAGATCCCAGTAAAGTTGGCATATAAATATCTACCTCTGCCCTCCAAAAAATTATGGTAACCATTTATTTAGAAGAAGGAATGATAAAAATTGGGCATAAAATAATTGAAATGGTAATTATAGATAGTCCTTAACTTATCATGGTTTGACATGTAATTTTTCAACTTTTTTTTGGACACATGTGTTTTAATTAGTATAGTATATACCTTAATTTTTAGAGGAGTGCCACATTAGTATATCAACAGTATGAATTTTTGACAGAGGCAAAACTGAGCACCATAGATACAAATAGAAAGACCATGCTTCATTGAGGACAACAGAAATTCACTGACGTGGCACGGTGTCTCTGGCAAGTTCTTAAGCCTCTTCCTCGACCTCCTCCTCCTCGAACTCGCCCTGCTCATGAGCTGTGGCATCCTGGTACTGCTGGTACTCGGACACCAGGTCGTTCATGTTGCTCTCAGCCTCGGTGAACTCCATCTCGTCCATGCCCTCGCCTGTGTACCAGTGCAGGAAGGCATTGCACCAGAACATGGCCGTGAACTGCTCGGAGATGCGCTTGAACAGCTCCTGGATGGTCGTGCTGTTGCTGATGAAGGTGGCCGACATCTTGAGGCCCCGCGGTGGGATGTCGCACACGGCCATCTTCACGTTGTTGGGGATCAAAAGCATACGAATTCAAGAAAGCATAT